ACTCTCTCTCTTTCCGTTAGCGGCACGTCAGATTGAGATTTATCAGATTCCGGTTGTTTGGGATCGCTTCCTGAAGGAGGCTGAAACAGACTTTGCCACTGCAAATACAAGTTACGACACACGCCTCAAAGATTATCAGAAGAACAAGAAAATCTGGGATATGGGCCCTCAGTCTGATCCACCGCCCCAACCACCTAAACGGCCATTCCAACGGATGCTCCCCAAAGAAGAGAGAAACTTTCTTCGCTTTTCAGCTCTACTGAAGATCCTCGTTGGTAGCTCTATCCGCACAGATACACTACCCAGAGTCAAGATCTTGTTGCAAGAGTATCTTTTGAATTTCTCGCAGGTATTCGAGCTGGACTTGAGCGGACAGAATCTCATTCTGACTAAAAACTCCCTGCAGTTCTATGGAAGCGACCGAATAAAACCGAACCATCACTGGGCCGTGCACTGTCCTGACCAAGTCTTGGATTATGGCCCTTTGAATGGATTTTGGGCATTTCTGACCGAGCGGTTGAACAAAGTCTTGAAAAATCTCAACAGCAACAACTGGACCGGTGGCCGTCTTGAAGTTTCAATGGTCCGTGAATTTCATCGGAACACAGCAATAAATACAGTGGTATGCACCATCTATCTTCATGCGACTGATATTGACCGGTATATACCAGCTGTCGCAGGTCCTGTCGGAAACTCAGGGATCCGCCGCGTCAGTGTCCCGTTGGGAGCATAATCTTGTTCAGATTCTCGTAGGTACTGGAGACAGTTCAGAAGCTATTGGAACGATTCAAGATGCCGCTCACAGTGGTAATTTGTCATTTGGTTTCGAGAAAAACGTTGACATTAACGGTGTTGTCTTCAGAGACAACGCTCTCCCGTGTTACACCCGGGAGTATTGCCAAGAATTCTGAACTGATCGAGGACGACACCCTACGTCTTGGACTTTTAAAACATTACAATAGAAACCGGCGTCAGGTTCATTTTCCTCGACAAGGGACTCCTACAACCGTGGAGCTCCGGCCCCACGCCGATTTTTTCAATTACGCACTCCTTGATGGTCGAAGGCTCGCGCCAACCACTCGTTCTCGCAGAAATACAGCGGGCTCATCCCTTATTCAAGTTCGATACCGGGATTTGCCCTTTGCTGGTGAAATTCGTCATATTTTTCGACACATGCAAGCAGGTGTTGTCGACTCGACCAAAATCTTGGTTTGTGTTTCATGGATGAAAACAACGAATTATACTCCGTTGGACAATGTAACCCTTTGGAGTGACTTGTACGTATTATTTCTTCTGGCAATGAACCGCCATAACAATTGAATCAAGTCCGGAGCTAGGCATCGAGACGTATGAATACAATGCTTATGGAGACCCGAACGATGATGAATATCCACCCATTGTGATGCCCTTGGACGAAGTTCATTGCCAGATTGCTCGTGGAAGAATAACATTCACCACTCCGGCTCTTTGGATTACAACAACATTGGACCGGGTATTGTGATGCTCTTTTATTATGTTGTCGACGACCTGAAAGTTCATTCAGTTTCCGACATCACTTCTTGCGTATGGATTCGGAGATGCGATAGAGTAGTAATCGTATTCAGGTCTGGCAAAGTACTAAGATGACGAACGAATGTGTGTCGGGTAAATTGGTAATAATCAACGTCTTACTCCCCAGCGCCCTACGACTCTCCATCGACCCCCTCTGCCTCCGCAGCTGCTGATCCCGTCGCGTTCTGGTATGGGTGAAGCTTCCATGTTTCAAAGCCGTCTGGGTTCCCGTAGTTGTTCCAATCCTTCAACAGCGGGCCGGCTAGCGCGTCATCTTGATGCTGCTCGAGCCAGTCAAGAGAAATACCGAAATCATACGGCGCAATGGTGGGAACACGGTGAGACACACGATTCGTTCCTCTCACCCGGATGTATCTGATGTTCGCACGCTCCTTCGGCTTCAGGGAAACATCCCACATGGATAACATGTCATGCAGCATGCGCGAGTACTGACAAAAGGCATCAGCAAATAAATCAGGGGACAGATGAGAGAAGGGAAACCGTTTCGGAGCGCCATGCGCACTCTAGAACCTCGAGAAAGTGGTAATTCTTTAGGTTTGCGGCAGAGAGATCGGTGATCCCGAATCGCACGGCTATCCGAATTTTCCATGCTTCGAACGTTTCGCCGCCATCATCTTCTGGACCGGAAGCTTCATCAGAGAGGTGCTGCTCAACAAGCATATCCTCGACGACAGCGGGATTGATGCCGCGCGCCGCGCAGTATGCCGCGATTTGGGACTTGATGTGCTCCAACTTCTGTTTACGACAGTGTGGTGAGTAGATTACACCTCAAGGTTTGGAACGCGCTGACAGTCTCACGACGGCGAAAATGACGTAGGGTACGAGCGTTGACAACCGCCCTCTGCGCCGCCGCAGCGTCCACTGTCGGCTTTCGATTCTTCTTGAATCCGCGGAACGATTTCTTGGCCATGGCGACAATCGCTCCCAAGGCTGGGAGGTTGGATTTCGGTACGCCAGGGGGGGGAGAGGACTGATTATATGTGAGCTTAGCGCGCGTTAGAATCGATTGAACTGACCTTCAGCTGCCTCTCCACCTGTTTAGCCACTGCGCGAAGTATCACGTCGTTTTGGGGATACTTGACGTCAAAATCAAAGAACGGAGTCAGATACTTCTCTCCGGTGGTTGGATTGCTGCGCGGAATTTCGGCGTCTGGCCAATCCTTCCCTCTAACATTACAGGCTTTGCGAAACGTGGATGTGACCATTGCCTAACAATGTTGTGAGCATTCAATTTAGTACGACGTTTTTAAGGGAAATGACCAGCCTGGATGACTTTCTCAGCCTCGGTGGCACTGAGCTCTTTCTTCCCCTCCGCCACCGCCTCGTCGTCAGCGAGATCATCTTCCAAAGCCTCGCCTGAAAGATATTCGGGCTCTGCGACGACCGGGGCAGGGACCGTTTGGCGCTGGCTCCGCATCGTTTGCATCTTGGTGCAGGTAGCGGTACCACGGGTCGCTTGGAGTCCACGAGCGGGGCGGCGATCAGGAGGTGTCTCGACAGAGGTCTCGGGCTCAGGGGGCGTGGTGTGGGTGTGCCCCAGTTCGAGGGAAGTTAAACGAGTGTGAAGGGAGCGAGTCTCTTGTCGGAACTCTCGATGGTTTCGATCCTGTTGTTGGACGATCTCGTGCTGCTGGATTAGAAGTTGTTCAAAAAGGTACTCCAGCCGCGGGACACGAGGCGCGCCTTCGCCCGTGTCTTTGTCGTAGGGGGCACCCGCACGGGTGGACGGGGAGCGGAATGGTAGGGCAGTAGCACGTCTTGGCAGAGTACTCGACCGATAGCGGGTTCCAGAGCTGCGTGTCGAATCAGTCCGGGTCATACGCAGCCGAGGCGACACTCACAAAGTTTCTCCCGCATCTTCGTCGTCGTCGTGGGTAGATGCGGAGCGAACAGGTCGGACGGCGGCATGTATGGGCTGGGTATTTGACCGAGGGCGGCTGGAAGAGCTGCTTGTTGAATCAGCCCGACTCATATGCGGCTCAGATATGCTCACGGAGGCGGTCCGTGACCAATGGGACCGTATCGTTGTCTAAGTGGGGGGACGGCATCTAAGAAACTAAATTGATCCTATAAGCCAGCAGCGGGAAGATTATAGAAAATATGGACGAACTCCTCGTCGGCGAAACTGTGCGACGGCTCTCCTGAGAGTTCGTCGTCGGTAGGGGCCGAGTTATAGTACGGGTATCGAGGTCTCTGCTCGGACTGGAATGACGGGGAAGGAGCGGAGTCTGGCTGGGGTTGCTGAGAGCGAGACGAACGGCCAGTATGTCATTGCATGTTTAGCCAAGGAAGAGGAATAACATGGGGGGATGAGAGAAAAGACAAAGGAGTGAATGGCGTTGCGACGCACACAATGACACTGAGCGGCGTTGCGACGCACAACGCATTGCCAGGGGCGATGCAAGGGCTGATGAGCCAAAAAGAGGCCAAAAACCTTAAAGTATTCGATTAAGTCGTCGCATCTGTCATGATGTCATTCATCTAAATCAGGGACCAGGGTCGTGGACAAGGACTGCAGATGGAAAAGAGGATTGAGAAGTGTATTAACGAAGAAATGGCCGAAAAAGTGCAAGGAAACGTTGGACGAGCTGTGACTACGCGGCGTAGGAAGACGTAGGCCAACGTAGGCCAACGTAATCAGACGTACGCACAGTGTGACTACATGCCGTAAGCCAAGCTCCGTGAACGTAGTCAAACCCTTTGACTACGACATCTGACTACGGCTGTAGTCAGACGTAAGTCCAAGGTAGTCCAAGCTCCGTGAACGTAGTCATACTCTGACTACGAGGGGTCTCAACGCAGTGAGAGTGGGCGTTTCAGCGGCGGCAGCGGCGGCAGCGGCAGCAGCGTGGTGCGGAAGTGGGTGGTGTGAGGCGTCGGGACGTGCGCAGTGGGCGCGATGGACGCGGCGTAGAGCACAAGTAATCCGGACTGCCTTCCGGACCTCGTTGTCGTGCGCGATTATATCTCACCTCCATGCCACGCGACGAACTCCGTTATTCATCGCATGTCCGAGTCCGCGGGCAACGCACGCTCGTTTGCGCGCGTGTACTGCACCCAGCACCCTCACCGTAAGACGCTATATACGCCAGACGATTAATACTTAGCATATCCACGTCTCTCGAGTGGGATCTGACGACAAACGTGCTGTCCATGACTTTCCTGTTTTGTTCCTTTTTCCCGATTAGGCGACGGTAACGGCTTCGAAGTCGGAGTGGTGTGTGGAGAGCAAGGAGCAGCGAAGATGATAGTGGTCAAAGAGGAAGAGTGAAGGGAAGAAAGGATAAGAGACGGGTAAATGACGTCAATAACCACGAATAATCCTTGCCGGCGCCGAGATGCAGTTTGCTGCGCTGCTCGTACGTTCCGCCGCGGTTATTGCAAAGTTGGATCAGATCACAGAGGAAAGATCATGCAACCAGCATGTTGCTTCCCTAGTCTATTGCTAAGACCTCTATTGTGTCATTTGACAGAGAAGTCGAGGGTTCGAATCCCTACGGAGGCATGAAAGGTTCTGCAGGCAGTTTTTTCTCCTGTTTTCGTTTTTTCTCCCGTTGTCCCTCGTTCATTTTTGTTCAAGCTTCGATTCCCTCCCGAGGCAACGTATGTTAACTAGTGTTCCACAACTTGATTTTACCTCGGTTTCAAAACTCGTACCAAAAGTCCGCGAGGAAATGATGTGCCGAGATGCTGTTTGATTTGCCGCACATTTGCATGCCCAATGATAGGCCATTGCACTTGCATCACAACGGAAGCATCATTCATGCGTCCCATGGCCTCCGTAGTCTAGTGGTAGGACGTCTCTCAAATATGTGACAGAAGTTTCAAAGATTCAGGAGAAGCCGAGGGTTCGAATCATTCCGGGGGCATCGTATAGCAGTTACCTTTTACTAAATTCTCTTCATTCACTATTTCGTCTTTTCCTCCTTTTTCTTGCAGGTTTTTCATTCATTCATTTTTGGTCAAATACTTACGCCCCGGGTTCTGCTGCAGGATTGCAAAGTTGCTCAGCAGAAGCATTATGCATCCACGTCGTCGCCCCCGCAGTCTAGTGGTGGGAAAAATCTGCATATAAGTGGATCCGCCTCAAAGTGCCTTTACGGAGAAGTCGAGGCTTCGAATCCCTCCGGAGGCATACAGTTATTCGTGGTATGTTTTTTTTTTTTTTTTTTTTTTTTGATTCTCCTCAACTTCGATTATAATTAGTTAGCATCCTGTGGACACCCACCGATGTGCTTCTGTAGTCTAATGGTAAGACATCTCTCTGGTTGGATCCATTCGTAAGCATCTTCATGGAGAAATCGAGGGTTCGAATCCCTCCGGAAGCATTTTCTAGAAGTATATCTGGTTTTCCTTCCTGTTTTGCTCAACCTTTGATTCCCTCCACTATCACCAAGGTATCAATTCCTTTTCTGTTTCACAACCTCTTGAACGATGCATTGCATTGAATCTTTCTCGGCTTTATACCTTGTCTTTGTGTTATTTTATATACATGCATGTCCGACTCTTGGACCTGCATTGATTCATTTTTTTCTGATTTAGAGTCAGACCTCTGTGGTGCAGTATAGCAAAGGTGCATCACAGCAGAAACATTATGCACACACTTCACCGCCTCCGAGTCTGGTGGTAAGACATCTCTGCCATATAATTTGTGCTTGGAACTTTTACGGAGATGCCGAGGGTTCGAACTCCAGAGGCATGTATTTGGTATTCAGAAAGCGCTTTTTTTGCTATGTAGATTTATTTTGTTCACTCTCTGAATTTCTGCTGCTTTTCTCCTTGTTCCACCAACGTCTTTTCGTCCGGTCGGTTTCAAAACATTTGAGTCCCCCACCGATGACCACAAAGATTCCATGCCAACGCCGAGAGGCAGTTTGATGCGCCCGTTCCGCCCGGGTGACCATTGCGAGCTTGCAAAGTATCATGCATACAGGTTGCATTACACCTGAGAACCCGGCATTTGGACTTTGATACTACAAATATTAGGCGGATGTGGTGTCCAACACAGACTGAGGAAGCTATCAAAACGATAAAACTGTGGAATATGCTTAAAACTGATACTTTACTTATGAAGATCAACCTCGATAACTGCTGGAATCAGAGGGTCAACATTCATTTGATATGAAGGTCGTCTAGTTACAGTCCGCACACTTGGATGAACGTCCGTTGAAATTCCTTGGATAGAACGTGTGTAACGGCTGCTTGGCACTCGGCACCCGAGGACTCTCGTGCTATTTACGACCGAGGATGTCAGTTGAGCGGCATGTTGTTAGATGCATTCCACTCACTTCTGGTAGAGCAGCGCGCAAGGAATCAACGATGGCCCGACTCGGTGCACCAATAATTTCCGCCCCGTCTTCCCTGCCTCTCGCCGCTTTGCAACTACTATTAGTGGGACTCACGATACTAGCCCCGAGAAAGCCATCAGCCTCGCGGATGGAGGGTTCCCTTCCTTCTTTTCACGCCGGGCTTGTCAGAAAAACGCGGCCGCCAGCCCCGCAGATTTCCATAGAGTTTGCAACAGCTCAGGCCGCGGGTTTCCGGATCTCGCCGCCCGACGATAGAACACACCAAGTGTTTTCGACGGCGAAATTTGCTTCGAGAAGCGTGCCACGCCCGTCGTCGCCTCAATGACTTTCCTGAGCAACACCATTCCTAACCCAATCGGTATCCTGAATCTCCGTTGGCCTATAGCCCCATCTTTTCGGCTATTCGAACGTTATATAAATTCTTGTCTGTGCGCTATCCCAGGGCTTTAATCACCGAGCACACTGACCCCCATCGATCTTGATGCTGAATCGCAAATCGGACCAAGAAATCCTTCCAGCGACAAAACTTTCGGTTCCGGTGCAGAACGTCGACGCATCGGACGCCAGACACAGCGCGATGCAACGCAGCTCATCCATACGCCCGAATCTACCCATCGGGTTCTGGACGCTCAATTGCTCTGCAAGACCAGGCATAGAAAAGAAGGAGGCTCGGGTCATGCTGGAATGGGTGTTTGGCCGCGAAACTGGGTCAAAGTGGATCCAAACGTACTCTGCGACGATATCCTGAGCTAATGCTGTTCACCCGGATGGTAGAAAGATTTCTGGCGTCCCACGTCCGACGTCGTTCGATTTTCGTCCACAGGTCCAGGCCAAAAAAGAAGTAAGTAGCGGGAGACGTGAAACTCAGCCACACGCCTTGAACTTCCTGATGTCGATGGGTTTTATGCATCAGGCTCAGGTCGCAGTGGACGTCACGGTCGAAGCTGTTGTACTCTTGAAATTTAACCACATGCACGCCCTTGGTTCAACGTTGAAGCAACTTCCTGACATCGAAGTGTTTCATGCATCACCTCACAGTGGACGTCGCGACCGAAGCTGTTAAACCGGACCCTCGGTGCCATCGCTGTCATGTATGCCCATCCGGGTGTCAAAGCTGTAAATATGATCAGTAGGCGAGCGCTTAGTTAATAACATGAGGAATAGTGCTGGTCAGTGCAGCCGAAACTCCGGAAAAGTCCAGGATGAGAGAGCTTCAGATCATAAATATAGCATTGTTCGCGTTCGGGAATCGCTCCGCGGGGAAGTTACGTATCTTATGGTCCCGGCTGGATCATGATCAATTTATTCCAAGGAGGAAAGATACGGAGTTGGACCCCGGGCGTGGAACTGGAAGAATGAGTTAATTTGAGGCGCACAGCATTTACCCTAAATGCTGTCCACAATACCTGCGAAAAAAAATAGAAAATGCAGTTCAAACTCACCAGCACGTATGTAGTTCTTCGAGATGATGAAATGAGGCAACAGCAACAGCTTCAATTCGTTCCAGTAACTGAATGAACTAAAGCCTCCGAATCAGCGTGAGATGCGCCGTGCGGATCAAGAGCCTTAGAGCTTAGCCTGTTTATTTTATGTTCACCCCATATCAACCCCTGATGCATAAAAATGGCGGGACGGGCCAAGGCATCATCCCAAAATAGCGTGGCAGAAAGCCTGACAGACAAGGAGGCAGGCAGCCGGTTTGAGGCGCTCTTATTTTGTGCACCTGAGGTCGGTGGTGAAATCCGTCCGTGCTGCGAGAAGGATATTACCGTCGTGCGACTGCACCGGAGGCTGTCAGATGAAACGAGGTATACGGAGCGATGTGCATAGTGCGGGTATTTGTGATTCGGTCCGAGTGACGCGTGCACTGTTTGTAATTTTGTGGTGTCGTTCTGCGTGAGGACAAGACAGGCAAACGCGGCACATGGGGAATGATACGAAGACTCGGGGCCGGACTCAACTCATCTGGGCAGTCCAGAGCCCAGGTGGGAAGTACTGTAGCAATAAGATATCGAAGGACGAAAGCCAAATGCGTATCGTGTCTTGTCAGTGGCAACGGATCGACAGATTCATGGTGTACTGTCGAGCCCGAAAATAAGTGACCCCGAAAAACCTCAACAGCTTTTGAGAGACCCTGGATTCACGCTGGGTACCCGGTTGACGCTGGGTGCATATAAACTGGTCGGGCAAATGGGGAAACGCCGTCGACATCGGCAAGGAAGCGACGCCCTGGCAACTGGCTTGGCAACGGCGTGTGCTTAAGAGGATCCCATAGGAAGGAGCATGAAATTTCATGTGCATGATACGGATTGTGTAGGTCAATGTGAGCGGTTACACTTGCTTTTGATGTTTTCCAGTACTCGGACGTTTATCTGGACCAGGAAATTTTCAAGGGATGTTTTCGTTAACCCGTGCTTTGTTGCAATCGCATGTGCGCTAAGAGAGTTTCCCACGGCTGCGACCCAAATTACTATATGGGCGTGCAGAGATGTGAGTACTGGGCCCTGGCGCAGTCGCTTCTGCCGGTAGAAGCCCTTCGTTTCTGCCAATCGTCAACGATATTGATTTGCCTCTTGCTTCGGGATATGTCGGATTGCCTAGGTGTTTACTAAGTAAGCCGGATCTGTAAGGCGCTGGACCTGGTCGGTTCCAAAATGACATCGCTTATTCCCTGGACGATGTGAGCGATGCGTCGCGCGCCCTCTTGATGTGATTCTACACACTCGGCTCTTTCAAATTGAATGTCCTGCTGGCCCTGAACATACATAGGTACAGTAATATATTCCACGTTTTACTGATTATAAATTGTTTTCGACAACTCAGTTCGAAAGACTTCGAAGAAGAAAGAGAAAAATACAGCGGCCGATCCCCGTCCCATGCAAACAAGAAAAATAATGTTGATCGGCAATCTCCAGGGGCAATCAACTTTGATGATCTCTCGTTATCTCTTGCCGCTGTTGCTCTTCAATTGATGAAACTGCGGGCCTGTGCAAGGGCCTGTGTAAAAATGTTACTCTCCGATCAACGGCTGGAGCGACCTTGACTGATGACTCTCAGGTTTTTTTCCTGTCACACGACAGTTGACACGCCGCTATTAGTATCAGGCTCAAAATTGGCTTTAGAGCTGTATTTCGAAAGCCTAAAACTGATACCTGCGATCGCCTTCAGGTCGCTGTTCTACAGCTTTCATTAGGGGCTTTCGAGCGACTCCATGGTGATAATCATAATGCGGGTCGGTGGAATCTGTCCAAAAATGTATTGGCAGTCCCATGGGCGCCGACGTCGCCTATGATTTTTGTCGTGTCTTTCTTGAAAAAAAGTTGGAGAGAAATCCGTTTCTTGCGGCCTATCGCTGAATCGGTTGTGATACATCCCTGTGAGGTGAAACATGCGCACCTTTGGACTTTTTGAGTGAATTGGCATGGTGCGGAAGCTTATCTGTGGCTGTGCGATCATAGGTCGGCTAAATGTGTAACAGATGGGAGCGCGTGCCGCGTGCACAGATCGGGAAATCTGATCTAGAGCGTTTGCGATAAATATGAGCTTATGAACCGGTGCTTCCTGACTTTCCCCGTCGTAAATCTCCCGTCTCGCGAAATGGCTTCGCCCGACTACGACATTGAAAAGAAAGCGACCAACTCTGGTGATGTCGCCACCGAGGACGTCCTCCATGGTGGTGCTGAAGCTTCCGGCCACATGCATCGCTCCCTGAAGGGGAGACAGATTTCCATGATAGCCATTGCCGGCACCATTGGGACTGGATGTACGTCCAATTCTCCTCTTTATAAAGACTTTGCAGTTGCTGAATTTTTTTTTTCACAGTGTTTTTGGGTGTACGTCTTTGGTGCCGCCCATTTCGGGGTGTTAATTTTTAATTTGTTCGACAGTCGGGGAAAGCGTTGGCCAATGGTGGCCCGGTTGGTGCTCTTCTGGGCTATCTTATTGTCGGCATGCTCGTCGGGTTGATGATGTACGCATTAAAACCGTGGGTTGCATCGCTACATTCTGATTGCTATTCT